CTGGAGCTGCTTCTATCATAATGGACAAACATCTGGTGGTGTTCAAGAAACGTCTTCTTGACAGAAGACCAGGAGTTATGTAGAACTTCCAGATATTTTTACAACCAATGGGAACAAAACAAACACACTTTTCTGCCATGAGGGTCTTCAAGTTCTTCTCCTTTCTGATTTCTTTGGTATAAAGTTAACCATGATAAAACAGGTGGATGATACCAAACTGGAGGAGTCTCAAACAGAAAGGAAGATAAGATCAATGTGACCTGGAGAGATTAGAACAGAGAAGGATACAGCAGACAGGTGTGATTTATTATTAGTAGCCTGCTACACATGCTCATATCCTTCACTCATCCTTCGTCTAGTTGAACATCTAACTGGGGTCTCACGTTTCAGCAATATGATCCCCTTAAATGGGCACCCATTAGTGGACTTACGCTGTGCATCAAGTTTTAAAAATCACTTTACATGCATTTAATTTTTGTAAAATGTAATATTTTTGTGTAATCTCCTATGACCTGCCTGCTCTCTACAATTCTCTGGAGAGTCAGGACCTACAGTTTGGGAATCATGATCTCAGACAAGCCACTATGTTTGAAGATACTGAATTAACTGCCGTGTGCTGACGGGAAGAATATATGTATTGGTCTCTTCCTTCTCATCCTTCTCAGGGTAATTCAATGTGAGATCCTGCCTAACAAGTTAGTTCCTGTTTCAAAATTCTTAGTTCAGGCAACTGGTGACTTCTCTTCCACCTCACTGCCACTGCCATTTATTCTTATTTACATAGCCTAAGTGCTTCAGGAATTCCCAATTTGATTTTTTATTTTCTTACAGCCAGCAGGTTCTATAACCCATTAACACTTTCTGAATCAACTAGACTTTAGGATTCTATTTTGTAATTTACAAGAAAAGTACATGTCTACATGTTTTAATGTGAGAGAGATAACATATAGTTTCTATCAAAGTATGTTCATTTTAAGGCCCAGAAACCTTGACAGTGTTTTAGATAGGAAAGCCATTGGAAACCTGCATGTTGATAAACCAGACAGATTATAAGCAATTATTACTGTAGCTTCATTGTTGAGAGGCCATGCTGCCTAGTGGTTAGAACAGTACAGGGAGTCGGGTATTCTGGGCTCTATTCTTCTTTGCAGCTTTGGACATCTTTACTCTTCCGCAGAAGAGGCATAATACTACTTACCTTTGGCACAGTGGTGTCATGAGGCTCAGTTAATGTGTGTATAGTTAGAGCATTCAGTTCCTTTAATGAATGGTGCTGCATTAGTGCAAGATGTTGTTAAGAGTAGTATACAGAAAGTATGTAACTTAAAATGTAAAAAAAGTTGGAGCATGTGTTAAAAGATGATGACACAGAAATACTTATACTAAGGACTCAATTGCTTTATACACCTGACAAGGCCAAGAATGCCTCATTTTCAGTTGCCTTTTTGGTGCACTTTGTGAAGAAATCCAAAGTTTGTAAAAACTCATAAGAGAAAGCAGCATGTCAGAACTGAGCTAGAATCTCATTAGCTGGGAATTTCACTGGCACAAATTTCTCATCCAGCATAGCTCCCATCCTTGTAGTCCACAAGCTAAGGAGCATTTCAGGGATTGGAAGGGTATGGCAGGAGCACATTAGGGCTCCGGCAATTCCTGGCTAGTGGAAAGCCCCTTGAGGGCCCTAGTCATATGACATAGATTAGAACAGCCAAAATGCTCTCTAATTTATGCCCCAGCTGTAGAACCAGCTCCAGAAATCAGGGAGTTGCAGCTAGATCTTTTGTGTCCCCCTCCTTCACAGCTATACTAGGATTACCATATCTAACAAATAAAAAAAGAGGACCCTCCACAGGCCCTGGCCCCGCCCGTTTCCCCACCCCAGCCCCGCACCTTCCCCGCCCTAACTCCGCCCTCTCCTCCCTCCCACTCCCAGCCACACGAAAAGGGTTGCCCGAGCGCTACCGGCTTCACGGTTTGCCGGGCAGCCCCCAGATCCTGCGCCCCCGGCCGGCGCTTCCCCAGCGCAGCTGGAGCCCGGGAAGGGAACCGCCCAGCCGGGGGCGCAGGATCTGGGGGCTGCCCGGCAAA